TTCATGGAATGAATTAGTCACAAGCTCACCCAAATTCAAATGAGAAGTTCCAAAGAATCTATAGAATTTATTTAACCACCACAATTGCATTCTTTTTTTTCTAAATAATCTTTATGCTTTTTATTTTTCCCTCTAAACCATAATTTAAATCAGAAGTATTTAAACCATTTTAATTTTTTATACTTGTGATATTAAATTTTACTTATATTACACTGTGGTTGGAAAATACAAATTATTCAATATGTTCAGTGAAAATTTAGAAGGAAACTTAGAGGTAAATACACCATCAGTTTCTAAAGGTTTCATGGGAGCTTGAATTGTATATTTTGTTTCCTTTTGCTATTATTGATTGGTTGATATAGTTTACAGAATTTTAATAATTCAAAGCCTTTTTTGCCCAGCTTGCATTTCCTGTTTTATCAGATTTGTATTGAGTCATGGTATGTAACTCCGTATTATATGCCCATACTATAAATTGATTTTTAATATTACAATTTAATGCTTTGTAATTTGGCCTATGAACATGCATATTTTAACACTTTTATTTTAATTTTTACTAATCTAATAACATCTTAATTGACTTTCTTCAATTATCTATAGTTTGAAATTATGCTGCTATTTGTACATTCCTCTGGTGTGAATTTGCCAATCATTTAAAACACTTGGGATGTATCTGATGAACAGAGAACAGCTTGACAAAGAAGGGACTGGATTTAGAGGGCTGTTATCTGGCAGATAATGGATTAAGCAAATAGAAAGAAAGTATAAGCAGAAGGGTGAGGAATTTAAAAGACTGAAGACCTTCTGGGATCCTTCTACGTGAAATGATGAATTAAATGAATAAACAAGAGAACCAGTGATGTACGTATTTCAAAAACAAAAGAGAGAGAGAGGACAGAAGCAGAAAGAAATTTCAGAGTGTTAAATCGGACACGGGACTCAGTCTTCACATTGACAACTGAGGATGCGCGTGTCCACACGACCTAGGGAAGAGCTAGGCCACCAGTGGCGACGTGACCTGGTAACCTGTTACAAGAAAACCTTACCCGGGAAAGATAAGACTGGAAACCAGTAAATAACTTGACTCTTTGCTTCAAGAAATTCCGACCAATCCATTTGTCAAAAATAATACAGTCCGCCAGCCTGGCCAAACACTTCTCTTATCACGACTTGCATCAGGACCCCCACTTGGCAGTTTCCATCAACTCTAAACTATGTGCCATGAATTTGCCAAATTCTAACTAGTTCCTTGTTTTGATAGAAATGACCTAAAACTCCCATTCTTCCCACCTGCACCATGGCTAAAACTTTCAAGGTAGTCTTCTTGTTAAAAACAGTCGGTTCTAACATACTTAGCTTAGATTTAGTAACGGTTTCCTTAGTGATATTTAGGGGAGTTCAGCAAGCCAGTGTCTACTCAAGGCCCCTTTGCCACTGTCATCCAAGACCTGAAACTTGTCAACAGCAAGCTCCCCGAGGCTCCCAGGGCTTCAGCGGGAGGCCCCCGTGATGGTGAGGCGAGTCAGGCGTCCCATCTGAGCATCAGTCCCTCAGCTGCTAAGTTAGTTTGTCTCCTAGAAAGTAAAAGCCCTTTTAGGAAGCTGTTGTTTATCGGATCAGATTGGACAGCTTTTGTTCGTAGTAGAAGCCTGTCTGTTATTTGTACCTACCGGTCCTCACCCTGATTTTGGAAGGTCTAAAGGATTTTCGTAAGAGAGAAGGATGGGAACGGGACTTGATAAATCTGTTCCTTGATTTTGCCTTGGGATCTGAGGAGTCCACTGTTTCTCCTCAGACTGGTGTCCCTGTCACTTTAAGCCAATCAGCAACACTATGCAAGCTTTTTTAGTATTGTTGTATTTTGTTCGTGAGAGTCTGGCTTGAGGAGATATCTCTTCTCTAACCTTTCTTTTGCCAGGAATCACTGACGTAAGCCTGGGGACCCAAGATGCAGGTGCAAAAGCAAAACTTCCAGCTGACCGTTGCCAGGCTCGTGAGCGTTTGCTCAGCCTAACCCAAAGGCCACGTCTCTCCTGTCCCAGACTCTCACCCCTTACATGTATTTATACTAGAACTCCAATTCAGATGACAATCTGCCGCCTTGGTGGCTTTCATTATGAACAAAATTGTTCATTTGAGAGAATCCTTAGAATAGAAAGAAACTAAAGTTTTGAATATGCAATGATCTGCAAAGCCAAAATCTTCTAAATCTAGATTTTCTCATAAATTAAATCCTCTTAAAGATATGAAAAGACTCTTAATTTTGGTTGTAAGCTCTGATCCCATTCTGAGCTGAGAACCATTGTCAAATACTTTACAAATCCTGTTCAAGATAGACTAAAATTTATAGAATAACATAAAATAATTCTAGAAACATGTAAACCTGGGCTTAAAAACTTTTATCAATTTGTTCATATGTCAGTAGAAACCTCCAATGCAATAAAAATTGAATAGAAAAGGCAGAGTAGGAACTCCCACGGAAAGGTGATCGTGGTTTTTTTAAGAGATCTGTTATGGGATTTTTTTGTTTTTATAAAATTTTTTATTTTTTTATTTTTCATTTTTTGCCTCGGGAAAGTCACATAAACACTCTGGATATCAGTTTTCTCTTTAGACACAGCTGCAATAATGCCTACTGGTAGAACTTTTCTGATAATAATGACACTCTCTGATCAACACATGCAAAAAAATCATCATTGTCTACAGAAGAAAGCTCATGCTAGTAAGCCTGGAATTTAAGTTCACCCAGGACCAGAGCTCACCCATTCTTTCACAGCCCTCTACTTTGTGCAACTTACATCAAGTGACAGTGACGGTGTCCTACGTGTCTCACTTGTCTATTTGTGTACATGATAATTCAATAGGTGTGTAATGCCTATCTACTTAAATTTAGAATCTCCACAAAACATTACAGTGATTTAAATACAAAAGCCAGGTAATCAATTTCTGCTGACTCTTTAAGTAGATCTACAGACAAAATGCAATATAATCAGAAGGATTAATTTAGGAACGAGTATTCCAAAGATTAAGAAAACAAGTAGAGCAAGGTGCAGTTATATCTATTCAATGATTGCTCAACTATTCTAGTACATGATTTAAGTTTTGTGATAGAGACTTTGTGTACATACTTGGAATAATTCCCATTTGTGATATCCATTTTTAAACCACATTTCTCTACTGATTATATTTATTCTTAATAATCATAATGTTTTCACAGTAATGCCTGGACTAACATTATTGCATTCGTAGTTCTGCTTCACTGTTCACAGGTTTGACTGATAAAAAACTCTGTGTATTTGGGTGTTTAGACAGGTGCACCTCAGTACTGACAGATGCTTTGTTGTTGTTGTTGTTGTTTTTAATTTGGGATGAGAAATGTCTTTTGAATATTACTTTCTTTTTTTTAAAGAGGAGCTACTTTATTAATTATTATTATTATTATGTTTTTAATGGAGGTAGTGGGGATTGAAGCCAGGACCTTGTGCATGCTAAGCACGCGCTCTACCATTGAGATACACCCTCCCCCCGCTGACAGTTGCTTCGACCAAACATCTCAATTCAGGGCGCATTAACATTCTACATGTGCGGAAAGCTTGCCAGGAAGAACTGGCTGACTGTTTATGCAACTCATTTCTCTTCTTGCTGAGCCCACAGTTTGATCAGATATCCCCAGCCTTTCTTGCGCCATTGACAACGTGCAGTGCACAGACAAGGACGGGGAGCTAAGGTGAGGGGCGTGCCTTCCATGTGTGGACCACTAAACCCCGCACTCTTCTCCCTGTCTCACTGACTGGGATGGAAATGCCTGGTGAGTGACCCCATGAGTCATTGACGGTGAATGGAATCCCCACATCTCCTTGCGGGCTCCTGCCCATAAAAATGTCCAGTGCACTGTCATGTGAATTGAAAATAAATCTTTCATGTGCTAAACCACTGAGATTTCCAGGATTTGTCTCTTACAGAAGATAGTGTTAACTGAACCAATTAAGCACTTAAAAAAAAAAAAAGACCCCTTTCTAATCTTTAATAATGACTCCCTGGCAGCCCAGAGGCAGCCATTCTAAGGAAGATATTTTTTCATATGTTTTCTTATAAATGCACATATTCAAGGATATTTTAATTTCCTTCAGTGCATGATACGCACAAAAATGTGGTTCTTAATTGTTTTTGCTCAGCACTTCTTAAAAAATCCACCCATGCAACTCATGTGAAGGGCTGGAGGACCACACCTGCACACTGTCTAGTCATCCAGAACGTGCCTCTTCCACATCTGCCCCTGCACGCCTCAGCCAGACGCCCTGCGCCGCAAACCCTGGAAAGGATACCTCCGCTGTGGCCCCCCGCAGAACCGCCGTAGGGTCTCCCGGGGGTACACACCTAGGAGCCGGACCGCAGGTCACATGGGTTGTGACTTGAACTTATTCTAACTCTGTGGTCCCAGGTTGCTCCTTAGAAATCTGCGGCAGGAACCTTCTTACCGGTTGTGCAAGCAGGTTTGTGCATTCCCCACGTCTCCTAGTTTATGATGTATTTGTCAGTGAGGTAAGTTCGCTATGGTATTGCGTTGCCTTTTCATCTGCATTTTTCTAAATGCTAATGAGTTGGAACATCTCTGGAGACAGCTTGCTAGTCTTCTGGGGTTTCCCTTGCGTAAACTGCCTGTTTACATCTTCTTCTGACAATTCTCCCATAGAGGTTTCTGTCTTTTTATCTTAACATTTTTCTAGGGTTCTTTTATTTTAGGTGTTTGCTCATATCTAATTTCAGACACTGTGAGTATTTTCCCCAAGTTATCCTACAGCTATGAACAGACTCAAAGCATAATTTGAGAACATTACACACATCAAAAATCCTCCTGCATTAGAAACAAGCTAACGGGACTGTGATTAGAATCATGCAAAGAAGTGTTGCCTGGACTCACTGTCTTACTCTGAAGTCGTGCTTTCTTTCACTAAGTAGAGATAAGTTTCGCTAAGCAAATTTTCTTGGTGTCTCATGGAGCGAAATAATATCCTATAAGATCACCTTGCCAAAACAAAAGTTAAAAAAAAGCCCAATGCCACAAAGATTCTTTATACTCAGTAATAGTTTATGCACATGATACAGGATATGCGGATAATTCTACTGAGGCTGTTTCCTGTCACAGTAGATGCTGAGATTAAGAGTAATTTCCTTCACGAAGGTCGCTCAGGTATGACTGTATAACGGCACGATTTTAGGAAAGTTGTATCTTGTAGACCGAAGGGTTTAAAACGTTTCAGTATTATTTGCATTTAGTAGCTTAGGTAGTTGACGGCTTTCGGTTTTTTTCCTACAATGTCAGTTGGTTTGGGGCTAACGATTAGTCCGTTTCAGGACTGAAATTTACCGTCACCAAAGGGTTAAGTTGCATATTGAGACAACATGGGTGGTTCAGCCCAACAACCACCACTTTGTACTTAAATATGTGAACTCTTGCGGGAGAGAGAGTGCACACAGCGTCTCTGATCTTCAGTTCCTGCTTTTCTTTATTGGAACCCCAGTAGCACAAGAGTTAGAACCCCAGACGCAAATCCAGCTCTGATCTGACCAGCCGTGGGGGCTGTCGTACCTCGTCTTTTCCCTGCCTCGTCTCCGTCTGTCAAGTGGGTACAGGAAAGCTTCGCGTAACATTTATAAGGAACCAATTATGGGATGGATATAATATACTAAGAACACTTTGTTAGCCATTTGACAAATGATGATTATTAATATTTTCAAAAAATTTCTCCCATTTCAAGGCCCAGAAATTTCCCCCCTTCCCAATGAAACCCTCCTTGGTTATTTTAGCTGATAAAAACCTCTCCTTCTTCAAACTTCTGGGAATAGACATGACTCACAAAGAGCTTTGCATTGTATTCCTTAGAAAATATGTTATGGGCATCAATTCTGTCTCACTAAACACATCACAAATTGCTGAAGATAGAGATCATTTTTTGTACTTTTCTTGTCTTGTATTAGCCATTAGTGGAGGTGGAGGTAGTAACAATTTCTGACAAGCTAATTGTTCTTTACAAAGAACAGCAATTAAGAAATAATTTAAGAAAATGTGTGTGTGTGTGTTTTGCAATAATTATTATTTCATGGACTTCTTTAACAGAATAGTTTGCGATCTTTTATAAGTGTGAATATTAAGTTCTATGCCTCTGATCAAGTAAATATCTCTAAAGTAGTATTATAATGTCTTACTTTGTTAAAGATCCGCAAGAGTGGAGCGGTGATTCTGACCCTCTCTTTAGTCTTTGTGACAATCGCCTGTGATGAAGGCTTATATTCATGTGCAAGTTAAAGGTTCAGTTGAGCACTCCAGGCTGATTTTGGTTCAAATGTACTTAAACAAATGTGGTATTGATTGTCAGTGTAAGATCAATTATATATACTATCACTGAACTGTAATAGGGCTTCAGTTACCGAAACTGAAAATCATCAAAATTTCTTACAAATCTCCATCTCTCTGCAAAGAGGAGTTTCTTTCAGCAGAATCCCTGAGACTAAAGGGCAAGCGACATGGAGGGACAAAAAAAAAGGGAAAAGGATTCAGTCGGAAAGTGGGGTTTGACCTGGAAATGACTCCGTAATTTCCGATAATTAGTCTTCCTGCCTTATGAGCACGGCTTTTCAAATTTTCTCTCTAACAAGCAGAACAGACAATTCGACTCCTTTGATTAAGATCTTTCAAAAGCGCCGGGCGCCTGATCATAATGCAGACTCCTCAGCGTGGTGTCTGGGGTCCTTCATGAACACGCTCTGCCCAACAAGAACGTGACACCAGGTGACATCAGGCGGCTCAGCCTGCAGGTTGAGTACATTTCCCACACATTTGCTCCTCTGCCTGCGGCATCCTTGCCTCTCTTCTCCAAAGGTTTATTTTAAGTTTGTTCTTTAGTGACCAGACATCAGCTCCACTTGGAATCGTCATCAGATCTAGGACCCTCGCACCACACACACACATTTCATGTAGAGTCACCCATTCCCATGTGCCATCGCAGTACCTACCAACAGTGTTGTCTGTGTGGGTCTCACACCCGATGCAGACCTTCTTGAGATAGGAACTCTCATTTCTCTTCTTGCTGAGCTTACAATTTGATCAGACATCCCCAGCCTTTCTTCTGTCTTTACTCCTGAATTATAATAAATGTTCAACAGATGCTGGTTGAATAAGTGACTTAATTAAGTAGCTTTGCATAAAACTGGTGATTTGTATGGAGACCAAAGAGATGAATGATATCTGTAAACCTACACAGAGAAGTTCCCTTAAACCCCTTCCCCAGGGAACTCACTCACATTTAATAGCTAAAGTGGCCACTCACGTGACTCAAGTGATACATCTTCTTGAATTCAAGCCTATTCTTTTGACAAATACGTTTACACCTGGCTGTGGATACATTCTAGTAGTCAGAAACAGACACCTGCCCTTACAGAGGATGTGATTTAAAGCAGGAGCCTGACATCAGTCAGGTGATTATATCAATACTTGCCAGCTGCATTTGCAGTCAGTACTAAATAGGAAAGATTCAAATGAAAGGAGTGGGCAGGGCAAGGAAGACTCCCCACAGACATTTACCTTTGAATTGGTAAGTGAAGGATAAGCGAAGAAGTGGAAATGTATGACAGGAGGTTGGGGTAAGGAGGCAGTACATTCCAGAAACAGAAAGCATATGCAAAGGCCCTGGGGCAGGATGGAGCCTAGACATTGATATTCTTATCCTGAATTACTCAACCTAACAAACAGTTCCACTTTTAATTTACACAAATTTTAGTAGG